TATAATAATAATCCTATTAAATATACAATCATCAACTCTCGTGAATAAAATTAGTTTATCGACTATCCAGTTTTGATAGTCCGATGATGTGTCAACAAAATAAAAATAAAAAAAAATATTTATTATGAGAAATCTTGTGGATAAATAATCGTTAAAATGGGAAGTGGAGGAAGAGGGGTAAGACAGTGGCCTCGTGTCGTGTTAATGCGTCATACGCGGAAGGAAGAAGGAAGAAAAATAATAATAACGGAAGGATGTATCGTAACGAGAGCGTAAAACGTAAAATAAAAAAAAAAATCATTCTCGACTGTGACACTCTTTCCAACTTTTCAATTTACAAATTAGTTTCATTCTGATCCTTTTTTTTGATTTTGTCCAATCCTAAACTAAACTGAAACTAAAACTAAAACTAAAACTAAAACTAAAAGTAAAACTAAAACTGAAAGATTAGGTTATGTGTAGAACCTATTATTCTTTGTAACATCTTTGGAAGGAAAAGCGGTTATATGTTCAACAGATGTGTCGGTGGTCGAGGAACTTTATAAAGGGACTGACTTCTCCCCTCTTCTTTTCACAAGACGATGAAGGTTTCTCAAGACGATGAAGGTTTCTCAAGACTAAAATGCCATTTACAAAGAAGATATATATATATATATATGTATACATGTGTACACGTGTGTGTAACATAAGTAAAAGCATATTCTCAAGAGAATATTCCGATGATCGTAAGTGGAAAATATTAAAACGAAAACGAAACCAAACTATTGAAACATAAAAACCTTATAGAAGATGAACACACTATATATATATAAAATAGCGTATTGATTTTTACGTGTACCTATTATAACCAAGAGAATAATCGACCATTTTGTTTTTCATTTTTATTTTCTGACCGCCATCTTAAATATTTCATCAAAGAATAGGTTAACGAAAAAAAAACAAAAAACAAATAGGAAGTAAAAAGAAGAAGGGGAAGAGGATAACGATAAAAGTTTGTTGCTTGTCAAAAGTTGCTAGTTTGACATAAATGTATATGTATATATATATGTGTAATACACATACACAATATACATACATATATATATATATATATAAATGTAAATCTCTCATCGAGAGAGAGAGAGAGAGAGAAGCCGCGACTCACCAGTTTGGAGAGCCCTTCTGAAACATACATCCTTCCTCCCTTCTCACTCCAATACACATCTCCTCATCTTTCCTCCTGTTTTCCTCATCCTCCTCCCTCCCTCCCTCCCTTCCTCCCTCTTTCCACTCTTTTCATCCTCCCCCTCACCTCCTCCTCCTCCTCCTCCTCTTACTTCTTCTCTTCTTCCTACTCTTTCACCACACAGGGTCGGTCCATCGTCCCTACCAAAACAGAGCGCAGGATCAAGGCTCACGAGGGCATTTGGCTGCGTTGTTCAACTTGGAAACCCTCCAATGGGCTTCGTTCCCTCTTTATCCTCTCACTCACTCACTCACTCACTCACTTACTCTCTCTCTCTCTCTCTAACTCTCTTTTTCTCTGACTTTCTTCGTTTCTCTGCTAAAAAAAACCCGTTTTAAAAGTCCGTAGGAATGTGTGTTCTCTTTCTCTCTCTCTCTCTCTTTCTCTTTCTTTCTTTTTCTGTGAGGTAGAAAAGAAAAGGGCCTTTTACATTTTATTTTTTCGCGTGTAAGAAGAGAGGAGGAGGAAGAGCGGAGGATTTTTTTTGTTTTTTTAATTTTTGTAATTTTTTTTTTTTCATATGGCGCGAATGGAGGGAAAAATTTGGCGGGAAATTTGAACGACGAAAATAATACAAAATAAAAATTCCAATTAAATTAAATTAAATATTAAATTAATTGAATAAATTTATAAAAAAAATTAAATAATAATAATAATAATAATAATAATAAAATAAATAATAAAAGAAAGAAAACGTTTGATTGGATGAAAATGATCTGATGGTGCTGATTTTGAGAATACGAATTCTTTTTTACTACAATTTCGAAAGAAGAATTTTTATCGTGGAATTTTACTTTGTACTTTTTTTACCCCCCCCTCTCTCTTTCTCTTTCGATCTTGCTATCTTTTTCTTTCTATCTTTATCTTAAAATGATCGACAAAAGGGAAACAACATTATCTTGTCACGGTTACGTTTGAAAGTCCGGATGTAAACATTTCGTAGGTCTTGTATCTATCTATAAATATTTGCCCTTAAGGAATTTACTCTCTCAAACATGGGTCCTTTGCAAAGGACCAAGGTATACGACCGTTTATCTGATGTATATTACCGTCAGTATGTCGAACGGAAAAAAGGAATTGGGGGAGAAAGAAAGAGAGAAAGAGAGAGAGAGAGAGAGAGGGGTGAGTTGATCGAACGAATTCTTTTCGAAAGATCGAAGATAAGAATATAAAAAGAAAAAAAGAAAACTGCTTCTTTTTCTGGGAACTTTCTAGTACTTTAAAGAAATGTTTTGTACTACGTAAAACATATTTACAGTTTTTAGTATTTTTTTTTATATTTTATTTTTTTTTATATATAAAATATATAAAATATGTGAAATATATATTTATAGTATTATTTTGTATTTTTTTTCTAGTTATTTTCTAGTTATTTTGTAGTAATTATTTTCTATTTATTTTGTAATATTTATTTTGTAAAAAAAAAAAAAAAGAAGAAAGAAATATCGCACATGTTAGGTTATGAAATCAATGTAGGGAAAAAAGTATCTAGAAAAACCTTTACTACGAGAATCAAATGAGAGTTGATATATATAAAATATATAAAATATAATAAATATATACAATATATATTTATAATATTATTTCTTATTTATTTTGTAATAATTATTTTGCAACAATGATTTTCTAGTTATTTTGTAATAATTATTTTCTAGTTATTTTGTAATCATTATTTTATCTTAATTTTTTTTTAATTATTCTACATTGTAAGGTTATGTTAATCAATGGATGAGGAATAGAAAAACCTTCACTACGTAATCAAATGTGTGTTGTTGATATATATACATATTTGAAACTAAAACCAACGGAAATTATAAGGATTCCCTTTTGAAAATGTTAGAACGATGATGATTCGTTCGAATAGATATATATATATATATATATATATATATATATATATATATATATACATTTAGGTATCGAATCGAATAACACGGATCGTCGAGTTCGCAGAACGCTTTCGTTCGTTTTATACTTTAGTTATATGCGCTCTTGGAAATTGACTGTGAGCTCGAATTTATGAGCGGATCGAATTATCCCTATTTCCTTATAATCTTATATATATATATATAGATAGATAGATAGATATATATTTATGTATATTTATTTTTATGATAGTACAATGTAGAACGATGCTAAAACACTTTTAATTTACACAAATATTTCCTATCCGAGTTAAAACCTTTTTACAAAGTTATTTCATAAAAAGAAAAATAAAATAACTATAAAAAAAACTACATTTAAGGACAATTAATGACCTGATAAATCAAATTGAAGATTTAGAAAATTTTGTAGGAATTTTTAAACAATTGTTTGAATACAAAAATGGTGTCCAGAAATAAAAGACCCACGTTTACAAACATCCTTGGCAAAGTATTCCGGGATACTTTTTTCTCCATTTTTTTTTTTTTTACAGTTCATGTAAAAATCATTTAATTATGATTTACTACTAAAGTCAAATACAACAAATAAAATACTGCATATATATATAAAATAGAAAAAAAAAAATGCAATGGATTAAGGAAAAATATTAAAAGAAAACGTGAACAATCCACGCATTGGGTTGCATTTGGTAGCTTGACAGTAGAGAGACGACGCCATTTTGAAACGATCTGCGAAGGTACAACCTACCCCGAGGAATCGCGATCAAGCGGTACACAGGAGTGGACCGGATAAAATAAAACTACTACTACTACTACTACTAATACAACTACAATACTACTACTACTACATAGCTGTTACAATCGAATCCCGTTATCCGGATATCCGAAGGCGTACAGGTTCGATCTGTGCACCGTACGCGTTGTTTGATTGGTCGAATCCATAATGGCAATTAAAACGAACGAATACAATTCGTTCTCATAACTTTCACAAATTAAAATATAATTATAATTATAACCTAACCTCAAAAAACGTTTACTTAATATCAATATAACATTATAAAGATGATTATGATGAATATAATAATTAATGATAGAAAATTGTTACAGCCGACATTCATTTTCTCAACCCTTAACGAACAACCAATCAGCGTCTTCCTACCTTCGGGAAAGTTCTTTCCAAAAAAAGTACAAGAACGAATGACACCCCATCTACAAGATTATCTGGTACGTAATCTTTAGATGATAGTTGTATCAAAATATGAGAAAATATTTTATCGATCATGTTCTCTCTCTCGATCTCATTCTATATATATATATATATATACTTATGTATTACATAACATATATGTATATAGAAGAGGGTGAGGTGAGAGAGTTCGTAGCTCCCTCGGAACATCAAAGTTGAGCAGGACTTTGAAGCTGGCGCGACGAGGGGGATAGTGGGAGAGGCAAAGAGAAAGAAAGAGAGAGAGAGAGAAGAGGGGGAGTGAACCCAGCGTCCCGCGCTACCCCCGTAGAAACGCGACGCCTAGGAATGAGAGAAGCTTTAACGCGGGTAAAATCCATCGATCAGCCGTTCTAGAACGGACGAGGTGATCAACCCCGTTGTCCTTCAACAACGATGACTACTACGACGACGACGAGGGCAACTCCCACGATGTGTATATATATATATATATATATATATGTATATAAAGATAGAAACAAAGAAACGAGGATGCATAAAGGTAAAAAAAAAAAATGTTAGGCCCAAAAGAAAAAACCTAAAATGTTTCATTTGGGTGGGAATGAGAGTTGGGGTGTTGGTAGAAGAAGATGAGAAACAAAGTATCCAAGATCAGAAATGAAGATAACAGAAGTAACTGAGATTTATGGGACATTTTGGGACTTACCTCGTACTTGATGCCATTGAGTCTTAGCCACGTCTCGACCTTGAGACAATAGGGAGAAATCGAAGGTAAAAGCGCAGTACGGAAGAATTGATAGAGATAAACAACATCCTTCTCATAGTTGGTTTTGTGAACGGTGACGGGTTTGGCCGGTGCCGAGGATGCCGCGGACGCGGCGTTTCCACCACCGGCACCACCACCAGCGGCGTCACCGGCATTCTCCTCCTTTTTCCCTGACTCCTCTTTCTTAGCTGCGGCGTCCTTTTCTTCTTGCTTGTTGTCCGGTGGCGTCTCGTCCTTCAATGCCTCTTTCATATCTTTAACGTCCTTTATCTCCTTACTTTCGGGCCCGTTATTCTCTGTCTCAGTAGCCATAGTCATTTCGAAATGAATAACTTTCTTTTTCTCTCTTTCGTATTAACGAAAGGTTTCTTGTTTTATTTTGGTTTTTTTTTTTTGTATATGCGTCTACTACTTCTCTCACGAACCGATATATACTAATATATATATTGGTATCTACGTATATATGTGTATATGTAAAAAAAAGATCAAAGTATAGCGCAACGCACGTAAGTTTAAAGAGCAATTCTTAAAGAGGGGAAAGAGAGAGAACAACTAAAATCTCTTCTTTCTCTCTTGGAATCGTATATCAGCAACCACCGACGAGTTAGTAGTACTCTGAACGACAGCACACGCACTGCACGGAACGTCAAGCCGGGTACTCCTCTTTGGTGCACGTCGTCTCTCTCTCTGCCTCGCTGCCGGCCGGCTCTTTCTCCTCTGAATACCCCCACCAACCCCTCCCCCGCTCTGTCTACGCTGCCAGAGCGAGAGAGAGAGAAAACGAGAGCGAGAAGGAAAGAGAGAGAGAGAGAGAGAGAGAGAGAGAGATGGAGTGAGCCCCGTCATTCCACTCGGTTACGGTCCCCTTGGCTCCTCAGGCCCCTTAGCCCCCCACCAATCGACGATTCCCGACCCCCCACCACTCTACCCTTAGCTCGATCCAAACCTTTCTTCTTCCTTCTTTCTCTCTCTTTCATATATTCAACTCCTATCGTCCTTTTCGCTCCTGCGCAAAGGCTGAGCGCAAGTTAAACGCATGCGCGAGCGCCACACCCCGCCGCCGTAGTAGACACCGACGCCATATTTAATTGCTCCGCCACCCCTGACTCGCCCTCCTTCTCCTCCCCCACCACCACCTCCACCTCCTCCTCCTCCTACACCTCCTCGTGCTCTGGCTACTCTATACTCTTTCTTTCTCTCTCTCTCTCTCTCTCTCTTTCTATCTATACATATACCTATCTATCTCTCTCTTTGAGAGAGAACGCTGACGCCCTACGCCCTTCGGCAACGTCGCCACCACCGCTGTACGCGTCCAAGGACCCGGCAACATCGCCCGCAAACTGAGAAAAACACTGTGAGAGAGAGAGAGAGAGAGAGATGGAATGAATGCTATACCAAAGAACACCCTTTTCACGGATTACTTTTTTCCACCTCTCCTACGTGCTCAGACCATAGACTTTCCTCTCTCTCTCTCTCTCTCTCTCTCTCTCTCTTTTGCGCTATGTTTCGCCCTGTATTTGAGTAAGTACTTGCGAGCTGGATTCTATGATACTTTAGCTAGATTCTCTCTCTTTCTCTTTCTCTTTCTCTTTTTCTTTTTCTTTCTCTTTCTCTCTGTTGCACCTTAAGAATTCCCTCTGCCGGTATGGAAGACATGTTTTATCCTAACGTTTTATCCCTCATAGGAAGAGACAGACATCAACTTTTCCGACCTTCTTCTTCTTCTTCTTCTTCTTCGATTCGATTCTTATCGATCCTCGTTATCTCATTCGATATTACAAAATATAAATGAAGAATTTTGTAAGAGTGTGGTTTTTATTTGACAATCTGTCACAAGTCTCGTAAACTTCGAATCATTTCATAATGTTGGCTATGCTGGACAAAGTTTATCGTCGAATCGAACTCGTGCGAAAAGGGGTTGTTGCTTAGGGGGTTGTTCTCTATTACGTTTCTTTGCGTTTCCTCTAATAATAAGGGTTGATGAAGAGGGTGGCAAGATGGTAGGAGGGAATTGGTCACGAATTTTCAAAGAATTGATACTCTAATATGCTTAATTATATATATATATATATATGCATGCATTTATGTTGTATGCACATGCAACTCATACATTTGGTATTTTTTATTCCATATATATATATATAT